GCTTTTACCCACAGCGCCACCCATGTCAGCATTACCCTCCAACATTTCTCTGATGAAAATAGGGACGTCCCATTCCATACTAATAATTTTACTATTTATACTCCAAGCATCTGATTGGGTTGCCCCAGATATAAAAACATAAAACATGAAACATTAAAAAAACTTCCCTATACAGGATTGCCTTCAGATGGCTTGGGGGTTGGATAACTCCATACCTTCCGACGGAAATAGGGACATCCTAAGGAAAAGTGGGACATTCCGGGATCAAATCAGAAACTGGGATGGCCTCTCTAAATCAGGGACGTCCCTAGAAAATAGGGACACTTGGAGGGTCTGGATCAGGCCAGTGGCTCTCACAGTGGCAACCCGATGTCTGATATGGGAAAACCAGCAACGGATTTTCAGAAGCATTTTCCAGCTCTGTAGTCCTTTTCAGGGGAGCAGCAGTCAAAGTGGTATGAGGGTGCTCTCAGCGCCTGGCGTGGCCCTACAAGGATGGGAGCCCACATTCTGGGGCGTTTCTGGCCTCGCCAACTTGCTTCTCCCCTTTCCCCCCAACAGGGCACCAACATCATGCCTCTCCTTCACTCTGTCCACAAAGATCCCACCCAGTTCAAGAACCCAGAAGCTTTTGACCCTACCCACTTCCTGGACGAGAAAGGCGGCTTCCGCCGAAGCGATGCCTTCATGCCCTTTTCTGCTGGTGAGTTCCTAGTCGGGGGGTGGCAAGATAGGCTGTGGGGAGCGGGGAGGTGTAAGGAATGGGCCCTCGTATTGCCCCCCTGGATTGTGTTGTAGACAAAAACTGCCCTTTTCCCCTTATGGGGTATCCAAGAGCCCGTTAGAATTCCTGCTCCGTGATGGCTGGCTTCAGGAGCTGCTCACCGGTGTGGCACCCACCATTTTGCCTCGCCGGAAGTCCCCATATGATATGTCTTGTGCCGTTGAACCCATCACGCAACATTCATTCCGTACTAATAAATCTACAACACTTCAAATATAAATCCGGGGACATTAAATGAAATTCGGGGACATTCCGGGGACGGATTTTGTCTGGGGACAGATTTGTAAATCCGGGGACTGTCCCTGGGAAACGGGGACGTCTGGTAACCATACTCCAACATTTCTCTAATGAAAGTAGGGACGTCCCATTCCATAATGATAATCTCACTATTTATACCCCGCACATCTTACTGGGTTGCCCCAGCCACCCTGGGCGGCACCACAACAACTTTCTAGTGCTGCCAAAACAGGGTGAAATCTGGAAGAGAAGGGTGAGTCCGTTTAATCCGAGAAGAGGTATTACCTTGAGCAATTAGGGTTGAGCAACAGAATCTTCTGGGCTAAGAAATGTGATATGGGCCTATTGATAAAGATTAATGAAATCCAGGGACATTCTGGAGATGGAATTTGTCCAGGGACATATTTGTAAATCCGGGGACTGTCCCCAGAAAACGGGGACGTCTGGTAACCATACGCTAGAGAGCAGTTTATGTATAGAAATTTAGATGCTGAAACTCTTGCTCATGAATGCAAAGCCTCGAAGGAACTGCTGACCGGTTTGTTTGTTTTCTCCCCTCAGGGAAACGCTTGTGCCTGGGTGAAGGTTTGGCGCGCATGGAGCTGTTCCTGTATCTCACCAAACTCCTCCAGCGCTTCACCTTCCAGCCCACCTGCCCCCGCGAGGAGCTGGACATCTTGCCCCTGTCCAGCGGCACAGGGAACGTCCCTCGCCCCTACAGATGCCGCATTGTCCCCCGCTGAGCTGCCCCTCTTGCTGCTTGCCCCCCCATTCTCCCCAGAACAGCCTTCCCCGGCGGGGTGAGGCTCTCCCAGTGTTTCTGGGGGCGCCACCTTGGGGAAGGCATGGCCCTCCTTGCCAACTGTAGCCCAGGTGGCTTTCTTTACCTATAGCTGGAAGCTGGCTGGATCTTTTGCAGGGGGAGGGAGAATTGGGCATTTTCTTAGCACAATGCAAGATGCAGAAGCAGGGCTCTGAATGTGCCCACCCCCATGCAGGAAAAGAGAGACTTGGACTAGATGCTCCATTGACCTGACTCAGTGGCAGGCAGTTCCAGGGGTGCCTATGCAGCTTTGCATGCCTGAGGTGGGGCAGGCACAAGTCGGGGCGTGAGCGGCTTTCATTTTCAAAATGGTGGGGTTAATCTGGTGCAGGCCCGCATTACACACCCCAGCTTGTCAGGGGCTCACCCAGGCAGCGACATTTTAACGGGACCTTGCCAATCTTGAGAAAAGCACCCCAGAACCCTCTGTAACGTGACAACAGCTCCCGGGACCCTCTGCCCAAATACTGCTTTGGGGTACGCATTCCTTCCCTCGGAGAGCCTTTATTGCTTTCTGGAAACTGCAGACTGGGATCGTGCCCAGATTTCCCTTGCTCCTCCACATTCTTGCCCTGCCCAGCAGAAATATTAGGTCGGGTAATCTCAGGTGTGCTCTTTCTCAAGAAGTCGGTGTAAGCATTTACTAATAAAGGACTCCCTCCCTCCAAGGGCTGAGAGCTGGGTTGGTCCTTGCAAATGCCTCCTCCAGGCCGAGATGGGCATGTCTTCAGCAGCAGGAGGGCTGTGGCAGGAAGTCAGGAGCTCACCAGCAGGACAGGGCAGGTTTTGCTCCCAGATGACCTGATGGTCTGGTGTTTGCTGCCCCTGCGATGGGCTGGTGGCGACATTTGGGGCTGTGCCTTATAAGGGGCCAGCCAGTGGTGTAGCATGGAGTGTGGGGGGGGCGGGCGCACGGGGCAGTTGCTGCAAAATTTCAACACCCAGCATTGCCTCAATACAACTGCGCTCTTCCTTCCCTGTTCTCAGCTGAAACAGCTTCTCCATGCGAGCCTGGAAGTGGCCTCTCCAGACAACGACTCTTCTTTTCTTACCTTTGTGGCTGCGATCTCCTGGGCGACTCGGGACACTGTTAGGCAGTTGAATGCGTGGTCCTGGGCACTGGCAACCCACGCTATGCCACAGGAACCGGCTTCTGCCAGCCGTGGACCAACTCCCTTTCTGCATCTTTGTATTCAGGGCACTTCCAGGTGGCCTGTTTGTGGAACACTCATTCTGATTTTTGGGCAGGGGGAGGGGGGTTAGATGCTGTTAAGGACACAAGAACGTAAAGACGTAAGGAGAGGCTGCTGGGTTGGGCCATTTAGTCCAGCCACCTCTTCTCGCAGTGACCTGGGAATCTTGATAGACTGCCTCTGCAACTGGAGGTTCCATAACAAGACCCTGGCTGCTGGATCAGGCTAATTGCACTGTGAATTTGTCCCATCCTATTTTAAAGACATCTAAACTGGTGGCCATCTAAACTGGTGGCTAAGGGACGCGGGTGGTGCTGTGGGTTAAACCACAGAGCCTAGGACTTGCCAATCAGAAGGTTGGCGGTTCGAATCCCCACGACGGGGAAGCGGCCACATGACCCGGAAGCTGTACGCCGGCTCCCTCTGCCAATAAAGCGAGATGAGCGCCGCAACCCCAGAGTCGGTCATGACTGCACCTCGCTTTATTGGCCGAGGGAGCCGGCGTACAGCTTCCGGGTCATGTGGCCAGCATGACTAAGCCGCTTCTGGTGAACCAGAGCAGCGCACGGAAACACCATTTACCTTCCTGCCAGAGCGGTACCTATTTATCTACTTGCGCTTTGAAGTGCTTTTGAACTGCTAGGTTGGCAGGAGCAGGAACCAAGCAACAGGAGCTCACCCTGTCGCGGGGATTCGAACCGCCGACCTTCTGATCGGCAAGTCCTAGGCTCTGTGGTTTAACCCACAGCGCCATCTGCGTCCCTAAAAAGGTCCCTTTACCTTTACCTTAAACTGGTGGCTATCACAGCCTCCTGTCAGTGGGAGTTCCACAGTTTACCTACGTTGCATCAAAGCAAGGAATATTCCACACTTCCCAGTGGATTTCCCCTTCTCTTTCCTTAAGGCAAAAAGTCAGGTCTTTGCAGGGAAGAGGGGTTCGTTTCACCCGGGACTGAAATGGCTGAGTCATTTTCAAGCAACCCTTTGCAGAGCAAATATTTTATTTGTAAAAAAACCCAGAGTGCCATGACAACTGGCCTTTCATGGTTTGTGTAGGGCGTAGATGAGATAACTGAGATGTTGACATTCTCAGCTGAGGCCTTGGAGGGGTGGGCAAGTTTCATAGCTGTCAACTTACAGATTTGAAAATAAGGGACCAGCAGCCTTGAAAATAAGGGATCAGCAGCCAAAATAAGGGATTTTCAGAGCACAGGTATGTTCAACTTCTGAGCCCCTCCCAGCCAAAGGCAGAAAGCCCAGCCAGCAGCCCAATGAAGCCTCAAGCGGTGGTTCCCACAGCGCAGCAACTCAGCAAAGGGGATGCAGCAAGGAAACCACCGTCACCTCTCCGCTGGGAAGCGCTGAGCAAAGGCGAGTCCCCAGGCAACGCGGCCAATTTGATCGGCACAAGGCATGCAAGCTCCACCCCCCAGTCGTTCTTAGACTCCTTATTGGGTGAGCAATGCAGCCAAGCAACACAGTTGGAGCCTCCCTCCTCCCTGGCCGGCAGGGAGGGAGGGAGAGGAGCTGCTTCCTTTGAAACCCGGGAAATTTAAGGGACATCATCAATAAGGGACAGTGCTGGGATAAGGGACTTTCCCGCCAAATAAGGGACAGTTGACAGCTATGGCAAGTTTATTGACCTCAATGCTGACCCCGGAGTGTTGGTCAGGGAGAACAGATGACAGACTGCAGGGTGACTGCAGGACAGACTGCAGCAACAGGCAAGAGGGTGGAGAGAGAGAAAGAGATAGATGAGATAGATGAAAGAGAGGGAGGGAGGGAGGGAGAGAGCAGCCCCTGCATAATGGATTGCCACAGCCATTCAGAAAAAAACCAAAGCTTGCTGTTTGACAGTAGAACAGACTCCCTCAGAAGGTGATTGCTCTTCTTCCTTGGAGGTTTCTAAGCAGAGGTTGGATGGTCCTCTGTCATGGATGCTTTAGTTGAGGTTCCCGCCTTACAGGGGGTTGGACTAGATGACCCTCGGGGTCCCTTCTGACTCTACACTTCCATGATTCTATGTTTGGCTGCAGGGGGTGGGTGAGCAGCCTGGCCTTCGAGCGCAGTGTCCTTTTACCGGGCGATGAGGCAGAACTGGTAGGGCCGAGGGATGCTCCCCAGCCCTGTGGACTCCGGTGTGATGTCAATGTCCTCGGGTTTCATCAAGGGCTTCAGCTTGAAGTTCTGCAGGATGGTGGTGAGGAAGATGAAGAGCTCCATGACAGCCAGGCTTTCTCCCAGGCACACCCGCTTCCCTGCAAAAGGGGGGGGGAATGAGAAGGAAGAGGGACAGAAATGCCTCTGTGCCTTTGAGGGTCAGGCAAAGGAGGCTCTAATTTCTCCCTCCTCGCTCGAAGCATGTCCAAAACTTAAATCCAATTTTTCATCTTAAGAAATGGAACTTGATTCGCTCGCAGAGACAGCATCCAGGAGAGCCAGACTCTCTCGGGGGCTTTCCATCCAGTGTCCCCAGCCCCTCCTTCCTTCCAAATTTGGAGCTGGTTTGTTGGGCAACCACGGATGAGACTGTGTCTTTCCATACCCCTGGAAGATTTTGGGAGGCTGATTACTCCCATCTCAGCCTCTAATTGCCCCCTGGGAGCTGGAGCGATGGCATTTTCAGCCATCTTCCGTGGCGCCTCAAGCGGAAGTCGCTCTGACATCATTTGAAGGTGGGCTTAGGGATGGAGTCCCCAGGTTGCCCACAGTGGAGCAGACCTTTGTAGGAAATAGAGTACCCTTTGGATCCCTTTCAAGGGGCGCTTAATCTCCCCTCTAGGTAAAGTAAAGGGACCCCTGACCAATAGGTCCAGTTGTGGCCGACTCTGGGGTTGCGGCACTCATCTTGCTTTATTGGCCGAGGGAGCCGGCGTACAGCTTCCGGGTCATGTGGCCAGCATGACTAAGCCGCTTCTGGGGAACCAGAGCAGCGCATGGAAACGCCGTTTACCTTCCCACCGGAGTGGTACCTATTTATCTACTTGCACTTTGACGTGCTTTGAACTGCTAGGTTGGCAGGAGCTGGGACTGAGCAATGGGAGCTCACCCCATTGCGGGGATTCGAACCACCGACCTTCTGATTGGCAAGCCCTAGGCTCTGTGGTTTAACCCACAGCACCACCCGCGTCCCGCCTTAATAGCCATAGGCCTGGGTAAAGAGACTGTTTTTGCCTGGAGCCAGGCGAGCCTCTCTGGGGAGAGCATTCCGCAAATGGGGAGCCACCACCGAAAAGGCCCATAAGAAGAGTGGACCAGATGCGGGGCTAGATGTTCCCTTCCAACTCTAGAGTTCTGTGATTTCCGAGTGATCTCCCTGGGGAGGTTGTAGATTCTCCTTCCTTGGACGTTTCAAAGCAGAGGTTGGGTGACCACCTGCCATGGATGCTTGAGTTGGGATTCCTGCACTGAATTGGGGTTCCTCCTAATTCTACAGTTCCATGATTCTCAGAGCCTGATGGCTCTGGCCAAAGGAGGTCCACCTAGCCGGGCATCCTGTTCTCACAGTGGCTGCCAAGATGCCCATGATGGGAAACCCACAGGCAAGGAGCTCAACCCCTGTCCTGCCCTTACCTGCCGAGAAAGCCATGAAGGCATCGTTCTTCTTGAACCGCCCGTTTTCGTCCAGGAAATGAGTCGGGTCGAAGGAGGTTGGATTCTTGAAGTGCGTGGGATCAAACTGAGATGTGCAGATCAGGGGGATGATGTTGAGGTCCTGTGGGTTGGAGGAAGAGGAGCAGGAGGAAGGCATGGTTGAGAACCAAGGGCAAGAAATCCCTGGTAGGCAGGTGTTGAGTCATGGGGGCGGGGCTTAGCTCTAGGAGCACCTGTGCTGCCTGCAGAAGGTCCCAATTTCCATCTCTGGGTAGGAATAGGAGAGCCACTGCTGCCCGCCAGTGTGGACAACACTGAAGTAGGTAGACCAGATGGTCCGACTCGCTGTGGCAGTCACTTACTATGTGTGAGTGACGTACTGTATTTTGTGCTCCATAAGATGCACTTTTTTCTTCCAAAAAAGTAAGGGGAAATGTCTGTGCGTCTTATGGAGCGAATGTGTGGTCCCTGGAGCTGAATTGCCCAGGGGCAAAAAGCAGATCATGCTATTTTTTTTGAAAAAGGGAAGTAGGTGTTGAAACAAAGCCGCTGATCGTTTGCCAATTGGGGAGAGAGATAAGGGACGCTAGAGATAAAGGAGGCTGCCTGGGAGGGGGGAGGTAAAAGCCCATGAATCCTCAGGATTTTTGCATTAGGTCACCCCAAATTCACCATCAGATCACATAGCATGTCCATGGCCACAGCATGAACCACAAAAATCACACACCCACTGTTGCCTGGGGCCGCAATGGCGCAAAAACGTGGCTACAAAGCACAGATCCACGTGGATCCTCAGGATTTTTGCATTGGGCTACCCCAAACTCACCATCAAATCACATGTCTGTGGCCACAGCATGAACCACAAAAATCATACATCCACTGTTTCATTCAGAATATTTTTTTCTTGTTTTCCTCCTCTAAAAACTAGGTGCTTCTTATGGTCAGGTGCGTCTTATGGAGCGAAAAATACGGCACCTTCAGTCGAGGGAAAGCTCTTCTGAGCTTAGCTCGGTGTGGCACAATGGCGAGAGCGGTGGGTTCTGACCTGGGGAACCTGGGTTCGAATCCCCACTCAGTCCTGAAGCCTAGTAGTGACCTTGGGTGAGTCAGTCACCACCTCTTCGCCTTGACCTGCCTCACAGGGTTGTTGTATGGGTGAAATGCGGAGGGGGAGGAGAACCCTTTGCACCGCCTTGAGCTCTTTGGAAGAAAAGCTGGCATATAAATATCTCAAGGGCTGTCCCGTGGAAGAGGGAAGAAGCTTGTCTCCTCCCGCTCTGGAGGGTAGGACTCGAACCCACGGCTTCAAGGAGATTCCGACTCAACACATGGAAAACCTTTCTGACGGAAAGAGCTGTTCAACAGCGGACTCTCCTTCCTTGGAGGTTTTCAAGCAGAGGTTGGATGTCCACCTGCCATGGATGCTTGAGTTGAGATTCCTGCATTGCGGGGGTTGGGCTGGATGACCTTTGGGTGTCCCTTCCACAATTCTATGAAATGCCCTGTTTCGAAGGCCACATCATAATGTAAAAGGGAGTGTGTGTGGAGTGCCTTCTGCTAAAAGGACGCATGGCCAGGTCTTGCTCATCTAGGCTCAGAGGACAGAGATCTTCAGGACTGTGACAGCAGCTCATCGGGTGCCAAGGCAGGGAGCTGCCAATGGGGCCCCTACAGAAGGAGACCTTCGCTGTCGCCCGTGGGGTGCACTCCCCCCTTTCCCCACAAACCTTGGGGAGGGTGTATCCACGGAACTCGACATCTCGCGTGACGGTGTGGGGCACCGCCATGGGGACGATGTCGGCGTAGCGCTGGATCTCGTGGATGACGGCGTCCGTGTAGGGCATCCGGCTCCTGTCCTCCATGCAGGGGCTGCGGTTCACCCCGATGACCCGGTCAATCTCTTCGTGGAGCTTCTCTGTGGCAAAGAAGGAGGGCGGGGAAAGGTCTAAAGGGGTCCGAGATGTGGTGACGGACAGGGAAATGGGCCGTGGTGGTCTGCAAGGGGTTAACGACGGGAAGAGCCCGTGTCGAGGGTGGGTGGATGGGAGCTGAAAGGGAGAGGCGCAGGAGTTGGCGGGAAGGCGAATGCAAACGAAGATGCCCTAGAACAGGCCCCCTTTGACCCACTGATTTCAGTGAGCTTATTGAGCGTGATTCCAGCATGGCCCTGGGGGGTTGAGCTGGATGACCCTTGGGGTCCCTTCCAACTCTGCAATTCCATGAACCTATGAAGCCCAGGGTTCTAGCTCTTCCTTGGCATTTCTGTAAGTGAGACTTGGGCAGTTCAGAGCAACCTCAGACTGGACTAGAACAGGGGCCAGCAAACTTTTTCAGCAGGAGGCTAGTCCACTGTCCCTCAGACCTTGTGGGGGGCTGGACTATATTTTTTTTTGGGGGGGGAAATGAACGAATTCCTATGCCCCACAAATAACCCAGAGATGCATTTTAAATAAAAGCACACATTCTACTCATGTAAAAACACCAGGCACTTTTGGGTTGCGCTCTCGTTACTTCTGGGTTTCGCCACTCGCGCATGCGCAGACAGTCAAAATGATGTCACGCGCATGCGCGGAAGCGGTGAATCGTGACTCGCGCATGCGCAGACACACAGTCTTGTGTTGCGTTTGCTTCAGGATGTGAACGGGGCTCCGGAACGGATCCTGTTCGCATCCTGAGGTACCACTGTATATTATTATTATTATTATTATTATTATTATTATTATTATTATTATTATTATTATTTTATTTTATTATTTTCCATCCCTGGAGGGCAGGTAGGACTGCACCCCCACGCCCCAAGAGCATTCCTGTGTGAGAACAGAACAGGCCCCCTTTGCTTTTGGAAACTGACCTTCCACCTCAGGGTGTCTCATGAGAATTCGGAGCCCGTATCTCAAGGTGGAGCTGACCGTCTCCGTCCCGGCAAAGAAGAGGTTCACCGTGGTCTTCGACATGGTGTCTTCGTTGAAGTGTGTGTCCGGGTTGTTTTTTTCCTGCAACAGGGATATGGGACGGGCTGAGAAACCTCGACAGCTTCAATGCTACTTGTGAAGAATACAATGCAGGATGCCACCATCTGACAAGGCCCCTCCGGGCATAATTTTCATTCTGCACCTGTGATGATTTGTGACTATGATGATATTAAAGGTAAAGGTAAAGGGACCCCTGACGGTTAGGTCAAGTCATGACCGACTCTGGGGCGCTCATCTCACTTTATTGGCTGAGGGAGCCGGCGTACAGCTTCCGGGTCATGTGGCCAGCATGACTAAGCCGCTTCTGGCGAACCAGAGCAGCGCACAGAAACGCTGTTTACCTTCCCGCCGGAGCAGTACCTATTTATCTGTTTGCACTTTGACGTGCTTTTGAACTGCTAGGTTGGCAGGAGCAGGGACCGAGCAACGGGAGCTCACCCCATCGCGGGGATTTGAACCGCCGAACTTCTGATTGGCAAGTCCTAGGCTCTGTAGTTTAACCCACAGCACCACCAGTGTCCCGAGATTACCTGTGAGATTGCCTTACTCCAAATACGCCTGCTCAACCACTTCGATCGGTGGATCTGGCCCTGTTCTAGCTGCCAAAGAACCCCCCCTTCTGCATTTGTAAGATCTCAATATTTTAGTTTGGCAGCACCTGCTCTTTGGAACTCCCTGCCACTTGATACCAAGCAGGTGCCTTCGCTGTCCTTTTTTGATGCCTCCTAAAAACATTGTTTGTTTAAACAAACCTACCCAGATGCTTAGAAAGTTTGTGCGTGTCTTAATTTTAGTCTATTGCTATTTTTCCTTTTCAAAAGAAATTCCTGATTTTTTCCTTACTGATCTTATAGTTTTATCTTTTTTTGATAGACCACTTTGAGGTTGTTGCTGCTGCTTTACAGTTGAGTGGTATATGAAGTAAAATAGCTAAATTGTAGTCGGTTGAGAAACCACTGTTATAGAAGCCTCCTCCTGTTCACAAAACTGGAATTTTCCTGGCTTCCTGGCAAAGAGGGAAGGGATCTGGAATTAACGGCAGCTCCTTTGGACGCTGAGGATACCTGCTGGATTTTGATGAGGAAGCAGTCGATGAAATCCCGGGGGTTGTTGACGTCCAGAGTTTGTCGGTTCATCTCCAGCCGCTCGCCTACAAACTTGGCCAGCTTCAGGTAGTTTTTGTAGATCTGGCGGTGAGGCCCAGGGACGTACTTCATGATCTTCGGGAAGCTGAAGAGCATCTAATAATAATAATAATAATAATAACAATAACAATAACAAAAATATTTTTTTATTTATACCCCGCCCTTCCCGATTCAAAAACCGGGCTCAGGGCAGCTAGCTACAAATTTAAAACACTTAATTATAAAAACAGCATAAAATACAGTATAAAAACATGAATGACAATAAAATCAAAAAATCAAAAATCAAATTGATAATCACCGGGGCTAGCTGGCTGAATTGGTCCTACTTGGGCCAGCGAGGAGGCCAGGGGAGAATTAGCTGTGGGGTCTCAGAGTGGGTGATCTTCATAAAAAGGGGAGGGGGAGGGAAGAGAAGGGAAATAAAAGATCATGCTGAATTCAAATTAAAGGCCAGGGGAAATAGCTTTGTCTTACAGGCCCGACAGAAGGAGGTTAAATCCTGCAGGGCCCTGGTCTCATGGGACAGAGCATTCCACCAGGTCGGAGCCATCACTGAGAAGGCCCTGTCCCTGGCGGAGGATAGTCTGACTTCCTTAGGGCCCAGGACCTCTAAACTATGGTTATTCATGGACCTTAAGGTCCTCTGCAGGGCAGACCAGGAGAGGCAGTCCTGTAAATACGAGGGCCCTAAGAAGAGCCCTAGAAGAGGAGAAGAAGAGCCCAGTTTACGCACAGTGCATTCCCCAATCTTTTGATTGTGCCCATAAGAGGAGCCCGGAGAGCCAGGCTGCTGTTTTGGACCAAAGTCCCACCTCGTCTAACTAACACCCCCAGCCCCAGTTCCCCTTCTCCCTATAGCTGTCAACTTACAGATTTGAAAATAAGGGACCAGCAGCCTCGAAAATAAGGGATCAGCAGCCAAAATAAGGGATTTTCCAGGGCACAGGATAGGTTCAACTTCTGAGCCCCTCCGAGCCAAAGGCAGAAAGCCCAGCCAGCAGCCAAACGAAGCCTCAAGCGGTGGTTCCCACAGCGCAGCAACCCGGCAAAGGGGATGCAGCAAGGGAAACCACCGTCACCTCTCCGCTGGGAAGCGCTGAGCAAAGGCGAGTCCCCAGGCAAGGCGGCCGATTTGATCAGCACAAGGCATGCAAGCTCCACCCCCCAGTCGTTCTTAGACTCCTTATTGGGTGAGCAACGCAGCCAAGCAACACAGTTGGAGCCTCCCTCCTCCCTGGCCGGCAGGGAGGGAGGGAGAGGAGCTGCTTCCTTTGAAACCCGGGAAATTTAAGGGACATCATCAATAAGGGACAGCAGTGGGACACAGCGCTGGGGATTATGGGACGGTTGACAGCTATGCTTTCCCCCCGCTGGCTTTGGACTCACCTGTCCCCAGGTGGAGCTCATGAGCTTCCAGTTGCTGTTGATAAGATCCAGCAACATGAGGAATTTCTTGTCCGTGTATTCAAAGCGGTCCCCAAAAACTAAGGTGCAGATGATGTTGGAGCCGGCGCAACTCAGGAAGAAGGTGGGGTCAAAGGGTTTGCCTGGGAATAAAGAAAGAGGAAGCAGATCTATTGTTTTCAAATCACCTTTTCACAGACTTCTTGTAGTAACAGCACCAGCAGCCACCCTTCTCTTTTAAATGGACTACCTTGGAAGGCGGTGGACTCTCCTCCGATCCCTCTCAGGGATTTTTTAGCCGTGATTCCTGCATTGAAGGGGGTTTGGCTAGATGACCCCTGGGGAGCCCTCCTACAGGTCTATGATTCCCACCTCTTGCTCTCCTGATGTTTAGAGATGTTTGCAGTTTCTACAATGGCTGTGCTGGCCTGGGTTGATGGGCTTTGTAGCCCAAGACATCCAGAGAGCAACAGGTTTGTGAAGACTGAAATGGGATGATGATAATAATAATAATGATAATGATAATGATAATGATAATGATAATGATAATGATAATGATAATGATAATGATAATGATAATGATAATGATAATAATAATAATAATTTTATTTATACCCCGCCCATCTGGATATCCCTAAACTAAGGTTTCGTTATGCAAGAAGGGCTCTTTTTATCTAACACCCGGCATCCCAGATTGTACAGTGGTACCTCTGGATGCGAACGGGATCCCTTCCGGAGCCCCGTTCACATCCTGAGTAGAACGTAACATGCAACTGCGCGTCTGCGCATGCGCGGGTTGCGTTTTGCCGCTTCCGCGCATGCGCGCGACTTAATTTTGAGCGTCTGCGCATGTGCGAGAGCCGAAACCTGGAAGTAATGTGCTCTGTTACTTCTGGGTCGCCGTGGAGTGTAACTTGAAAACGCTCAAGCTGAAGCATATTTAACCTAAGGTATGACTGTATGAGCTAAGGCCACTTGTCATGGATTCCTTAGTTGAGATTCCTGCATTGCAGGGGGTTGGAGTCAATGACCCCTGGGTGTCCCTTCCAGCTCTATGATCCTATGATTTCATCATAATTTAAATCTCAGGAAGTCTTTTCATCAGTTTGCTTTCAGTAGGGGGAAAGAGCCCAACATTACTGAAGAAGAAGAGGAAGAAGAGTTTGGATTTGATATCCCGCTTTATCACTACCCGAAGGAGTCTCAAAGCGGCTAACATTCTCCTGTCCCTTCCTCCCCCACAACAAACACTCTGTGGGGAGAGTGAGGCTGAGAGACTTCAGAGAAGTGTGACTGGCCCATGTGGAGGAGCGGGGAAGCGAACCCGGTTCACCAGATTACGAGACTACCGCTCTTAATCACTACACCACACTGGCTCTTAATCACTACACCACACTGGCTCTGAAGGATCCAATAATAAACACACTCCTTTATTTTCTGTTTCTTTTCTCTCTCTCGGACCAGATTTTATTATAATAATACTTATTTATGCGTTTGTATCCCAGCTTTTCCTCCGAGGAGCTCGAAGTGAGGTATACACTGCTCTCTTCCCCGTTGAATCCCCACAACAACCCTATTCCAGAAAATGTTGGGAAATTGGTGGAGCAAATCCCTTTCCTCCCTTCCCCTTCCCCTGGGCAGCCCCTTCCCCATCAACCTTCAGTTTTGTGGAACTCAGCCACCAGGAACTGAGCCTCTTCCTTGATCCGCTCCTCAATGGATCTCTTCCCCATCCCAAAGTTCTTGAAGGTGCTGATGGCAAACCTGCGCAGCTGCCTCCAGCGCTCCCCAGTGCCGTACACGATCCCTGAGGGAAAAGCAAAGGGCCAGTGGCATGAACCCCCAGTGAGAAGCCCCTAACCCAGTCGTTCCGGGACTTTTTCAAGCCCACAGCCCCCTCGGTCCCATAAACTCATCCCCAGCATATCCACCCTACTCTGTCGAAAGCCTTATTCAAAATAGTGGTCTACACAGCTCACTAAGGGAGATAATGATCCATTAACATTCAAAACAGTCTCAATTGCTTGCACTTTCATTTAAATTCCAGCTAAAACTATTTAGTTAATTCAACAAAAAATGATGAACTTGATACAGGCTTTTCAATGATACAGGCTTTTCAAAGTCTGATAGTCATTTAACCAATTCCTCATGCTATGGATGGATTTGATAAAGTCATAAGAACATAATGATATATCATTATATATAATGATATATAATGAACTACCTAAACTGTATAGAAACTTATTTACGTAGGCTACTACAGCAGCAAGAATGTTACTCATACAAAAATGGAAAGAAGCAGAAGTCCCAGCAAAGGAAGAATGGATACAAAAACTTACGGAATATGCAAAAAAGGCGAAACTTACCGGAAGAATAAGAAATCAGCAAACTTTGTTTTATAAAAGAATGGTTTATTGAATATTTACAGATAAATTGTAAACAGAGAAGAGCATTGGAAGGATTATTGTAATAACCTGCAGTTTTATAAGAGTATATATTTAAAGCAGATGAATAAATGAGCAAATTAAGTTAATTTGGATATGCAGAAGATATTATTATTTTTTAAGGCACTGCAGAAAGAGGGGGAAGAGCCGAGCCACCCTGACTAGGAACCACCTATAGCCCTCTTGTCCTCCATGAATTTGTCTGATCCTTTCCCCCCTCTTTTTTTTTAATTAGTTTTTATTTCATTTTAATACACCACATTCAAAAAGAAAATATGAAGATACACAGATATCCATCACCTACTAACAACTAAGAAAGAAGAAGAAGAAAAAAACACCCCCACCCCCACCACCAATACATTGAATGTTGCTCACAATACATTTAACATAAAAACGACTTTTTCCTATGTAGCTGACTTCCCATCTACACCTTCCTTCTATTTCTCACCCGTTATTCAGTGCCATATTATATTTTGGCTTTAATGTTATTTATTCTAGCCTAGGTTTTCCACCAGATTTAAAACTCCTACTGAAGTTATTCAAATGCTGCTACAGACTTCAAACTGCTATTTTTCAAATAAATTTTAAAGACTTCCCATTTTGTGGCATATACTTTGATTTATTTTTTATTCTTTCTGATAACTGGTCTAATTCTGCATATTCGGTCATTTTTTGAATCCACTCTGATCTAGGAGGGACTTTATCACTTTTCCAATTTGTCACAATGAGTATTCTTGCTGCAACCGTAGCATAGAGAAAAAGTTCTTTTCCTGTTTTAAGGGATATCAGAATCTGTGATTCCTAGTAGGTAATAACAACAACAACAACAACAACAACAACAACAATAATAATAATAATAATTTATTATTTATACCCCACCCATCTGGCTGAGTTTCTGGTTTTTTGCTGAAAGATATTTTAAACATTTTTTCCAATTCTGTTCCAATGTCTGATCCTTTTTCAAAGCCATCCAACTTGGCGACCACCCCTGCATCCTGTGGCAGTGAGTTCCATAGTTTAACTCTGTTGCCGCGTGACTTTCTGTTATGTGTACTGAACTCTGTAACATTTAACTTCGCCAGGTGCCCATGAATCCTAGTGTTACCAGAGAGGGATGAAAGCCTTTTCTCTACCCAATTTCTCCATGCCAGGCATCATTTTATAGCCTGCTATGGTGGCGATGTGGTCTAAACCATGGAGCCTCTTGAGCTTGCCGATCGGAAGGTCAGCGGTTCGAATCCCCACGACGGGGCGAGCTCCCATTGCTCTGTCCCAGCTCCTGCCTGCCTAGCAGTTCGAAAGCATACCAGTGCAAGTTGATACAGTTGTACCTCTAGTTACAGACTCGATCCGTTCTGGGGTGCCATTTGCACCCCGAAAAGTCCAGAACTAGAGCGCCGCTTCTGCGTACGTATGTGGCGCGATAGAGCGCTTCTGCGCATTCGTGAGGTGCACAGAGCGCTTCTGTGCATGTGCCCACGGCGAAACCCGGAAGTATACACTTCCAGGTTTGCAGCCTTCGTATCCTGAAAAAACACAACCGGAGACTGACGTAACAAGAGGTACGACTATAAATAGGTACTGCTGCAGCGGGAAAGTAAATGGTGTTTCCATGCGCTCTGGCACTCGTCACGGTCCTCCGTTTAGTCATGCTGGTCACATGACCCGGAAAACTGTCTGTGGACAAACGCCAGCTCCCTCGGCCTGAAAGCGAGATGAGCGCTGCAACTCCATAGTCGCCTTTGACTGGACTTAACAATCCAGGAGTCCTCTAACTTTACCTTTTTATCATATCGCCTCTGACTTGCCTTTCTAACTTGTCACTTAAAAAGGTAAAGGTAAAGGGTCCATTAGGTCCAGTTGTGGCTGACTCTGGGGTTGCGGTGCTCATCTTGCTTTATTGGCCGAGGGAGCCGGCGTACAGCTTCCGGGTCATGTGGCCAGCATGACTAAGCCGCTTCTGCTTCTGGAGCAGTAGCTATTTATCTACTTGTACTTTGACATGCTTTCAAACTGATAGGTTGGCAGGAGCTAGGACCGAGCAACGGGAGCTCACCCCGTCGCGGGGATTCGAACCGCCGACCTTCTGATCGGCAAGTCCTAGGCTCTGTGGTTTAATCCACAGTGCCACCCGCGTCCCTTAAAGTCACTTACCAGGAGTCTTAAACCACCACTTCCGGGGCTCCTCTGCTGCCCCTTTGCCTCTTAGCACCCCCTTGGTAATCTCACCCCTACTTGCGGAGCCGCTGCAATGCCTCCTTTTCGAAATCAGCACCCCCCCATTTCCTCACCGTTCCCTTTGCTCCACATCTGGACGGCGGGGAAGTCTCCTCGGCCGCTGAACTCCTCTGCCTTGTCAATCAAAGCCTCCTTGAGGACCTGGTAGCCAGAGAGGACCACGCACGGCCGGGAGCCCAGGTGGAAGGTGTACATTGGCCCGTAGGTCTTGCTAAGCTGCAAAGAGGAGAAGGAAGCAGGAAGTTGTTTAGGATAGGGTCGCCATATTTGAAAAAGTGAAAATCTGGACACAAAAGTATGCGGCCAAGAGGCCAAAAGTGCCAAGAAAGGCCAATCATGGCGTCCGGCACACTTCCATTGCGCAGCTTGCTAACTATCCGTGCCGCTCCAAAAGTCCTTCTGCCTCTTCAGCCGGTAGCAGAGCAATCGCAGCAGTTAGAAGCAAATTGCAGCGTGTGGGTAATAAACTCAGAACAGACACAAGGCTTTCCTTATCTTCTTAGCCTTTAATCATGTAGAATAACAGCATAAATCAGACCTGGCGAAAGCTCGCCCATCCTCCCTCTCGCATAGCGTACCAGAGGCAGACTGAGACACTCAGAGCAAACCACTCCCGTAAGTGTCTGTGACCACGCCTCATGATGCAAGGCGTCACACAGAACCTCTTAACCCTGTAGGTTCTGATCCTCCCACACCCCCTCTCGCATTGCATCTTGAGGGGACCTGTGCACGCCTCTTTACGGACCTCTTTGAGTTCAACTCACCTCCCATTGCCTTTTGCCTCCCACTGGCATCTATCCCAGGCAATTGTTGAATCCCTTCCACACTCCCAGAATCACACTGTGCGAAACCAACCCACGCACTGGTGACCTGAAACCTCTCAGGTAGAACACCCTTTGTGGCCCGAGATGAACGTCTGGGCACAAACTGGGGTGCTTTATCTGAACTTCCCTCTGACCCACTGGGGCCAGCAAGTGTGTCTTCTCCGTCAGACTCTTCCCCCTCTGACTTGACGACCCGTCTGTGAGCTTTCTCCATTATGCTAACAGGAGATGAAGGCTCGCTCTTGGACACTCCTTTAACAACTCTTGGAGACGCCCAAACCTGCCCTGAACCCTGATCCTGGACCTGGTCCCCATCACCGGGTTCAGCCTCTGGCTCTCCTTCCTCCTCAGAATCAGACAGACATTCTGAGAGAAAATCAGGACCATCCCTAGGCCGTGACCAACCACCCTGCTCACAGAACTCAGCATGCTTGCTGACCAGCAGCTTGGTCTGATCACCCTCTGGGTATGCAAACTTCCACCCATTTGTTGCAGGATCATACCCACAGAAGATCATGTCCTGGTACCTTGGACCACCCTCCTTCCGTTGTGCTGTTGGTATTGGCACTGAAGCCTTGAACCAAACGAACGGAAGAAATGCACCTGTGGCTTTTGCTTGTGCAACAGAAAAAACGGCGTGTCACCTACAGCGTGATTGTAGGACCTGTTAAAAACAAAGCTGGCAAATTTCCAAGCTTCACTCCAAAAGCTCTGAGGCAGCCCAGAGTCACACAGCAAAACCCTGACAGCTTCAGCCAGTGTTTCACTCCTGTGCTCTGCCACGCCTCTCTCTTGAGGAGACTTTGCACCCGTCATCTGGTGACGAATTCCCTTTTCCTTGAAAAACTCCTTCAGAGCAGACCCAGTAAACTCTGACCCACGGTCGCTCTTGAACCCTTGCACCTTGGTGGAGAACCTTAGTTCCACCTCCGCAACCCAATCCTGGATCAGTTGCGCCGCCTCCCCCTGCGATTTGAGAGAAAAACACCATGAATTCTGAGAAAAATCATCTGTCACCGTCAGCAGAAACCTGGCCCCACCCAGACTCTCACACTTCATGGGTCCTGCAAGGTCTGTGTGTACAAGCTCAAAAGGTTTTGTGGTTACCCTCTTTATCCCGGGAAAACTGCACCTTTGAACCTTTCTGCATGCCCTGCACTCTAGGGATCCCTCACATGGTGTGATTTTACAACCTTTGGTGCAGCTGGGCAACCTCTTAACATCCTCCAAACAAGCATGAGACATTCTCTTGTGCCATACATGAACACATGAATCATGGCTGGGAACACTAGCACACTGCGCCTGTGCTTTTTCGGTATTCCCCCCACCCTCCAGAGGTGATTCCAGAACAAAGAGATTGTTCTTGCTTTCCATGTTGACAAGTTGTCTCCCCCCTCTGGAAATGGAACAGGCATCATTTTCAAAGCAAATTTTGTACCCCTGCTTCACAAGAGCAGGTACAGATAACAGGCAACAATGCATTTCCGGCACAACGTAGACCTCTAGCTCCGCCTGTAAAAAGAAAAGATAGATATTAGCAACAGCAGAAACTGGCTTTTGTGTCCCATCAGCGAACGTAACAGTCATTCCAGCTGAAACAGCCCTGCAATTCCGCAGCCCTCCAGCAGGTGGCGCTCTAATCAGGTGATGACTGGCTCCGGAATCCACCACCCACTGCACAGCTGTGTCCCTGCTGGAGTTGTTTTTCAAAGCCGCCAGAGAAGCCGTGAGATGATAACAGTCTCCCTTCTCTGAGTCACGTCCTTCCTTCACGTTCCCACGCTGGCCTCCTCTCCGAGACTGGTTCCCATGGGAAGCGACCTTGGGACCTTCCTGCCCAGCTGCCTTCGCTCTCTGTGGGCAGCAGCGACGTACGTGGTCAGCTGACTTGCAAATGTAGCAACGACGCGTGGAAATATATTGGGGTGAGCTCTCAGCTAGCATAGCTTCCGGACCAGCTCCGCCCCCTCTCAAATGGCACTCCTCCACGACACACACAGTGGAAACCTTTCCAAAATGGCTTTTGGGCTTCTCTGCCCCCCCCCGATGCTTCCAACAGCACTTCGTGAGGCTGCAACAACAGGGCCTCCGGCTGCGCACTCGGCTTCTTTCTCCTGCTCCTGGCCCCCTGCTGAGCTATTGCACAAACTTTTCAGCACTTGCCAGGCCTCACAAGCAGATTCAATGCCTTCCAGGTGATGCTGTAACTTAGCATGTACACTTGCCCTCAACATGCAGATCTCAGCTCTCACAGCTTTCTCTCTCTGCATTTTCTCCTCCAGAGAAACAGATTGCAGCGTCTCTGCATCTCTGTCCACCAGTTCTACATTTCCAGTAGGCACTGGTTCTCTCTGGGATATGTCCCAAATTTCCGTGGCTAAAAACCACGCTCTCACCCTCCTGGCCCAGGTATTCCACGACTGGGCGGTGAGCTCTTGAAGCCTTTCAAACGGAGCTTCAAACACCTCCTGGCCATCTGCCATCTTCCCCCGGGGCCCCAGCTACTCACAAACAGCGTCCAGCTCCCGGTACAGCAGACCAGCCTCCGGCAGATTAGATCTCCTTCTCCTAGCGAGCTGCGTTCAACTTCAAAGAACAGCACGGCCCTAGCTGGGAGAAGGAGATCTAATCTGCCGGAGGCTGGTCTGCTGTACCGGGAGCTGGATGCTGTTTGTGAGTAGCTGGGGCCCCGGGGGAAGATGGCAGATGGCATAGCGTACCAGAGGCAGACTGAGACACTCAGAGCAAACCACTCCCGTAAGTGTCTGTGACCACGCCTCATGATGCAAGGCGTCACACAGAACCAGGTTCTGATTCTCCCACAAAAAGATGTTGAGCTTTTCTTAGTTTCCCTAAAGTTGTTGAGCTTTTTGGTTTGCAAACTCAGAAAAATGAAGTTTTTGAGTTATTTTTAAGGAAATTTGCCAAAATCTACATTGCGGGTTGCCATACACCTGAGTTTTCTTGGACATTTCAGCATTTTTCGCTTGGACACTGTTTCCTATGGCTCTATCTGGGAAATTCAGGTGTATGGCAGCTCTAATTTAGGACAGCCGTGGCTTCATCTTCTGGGTCTTCTTGGGGCAAGAGGAGAGTAACAGAAACCAAAAAACCACCCTTAAAACCTGTTTCTTAGGGAAAGCTCCTTGAAATTGCACCACACATGCAAATGTAACAAAAATGGTTTCTTCTCCATTGCCTAATAGCCTGAGAGGTTGAGATAAACTTGCTACATATGATCACTTATGGTGGGAATGTAGATTGGTGCGAGAAATTTGGAATTTAATCTTGATGGAAATGATACTAGTAAACAGACCATTTCTTGTTGTTCAAAATTAATGATACCCAATATTTTTTGATGATACCAATATATTGTCAAAATAATTCATCTTATGCATGATCTTGGCAGCTCAATGGAAAGCAGCCCCAAGATGTCCCTCACAGAGGAAAATATGCATAATTTGAGGTTTTGACAAGGCCTGGGACGTCCAAATGGTTTTTATGTGAGTTGGCATTCCTTTATTGCATATACAGCAGAGGTATCATTTTCAAGACAGCTCTTGTCACAAGCCTGGCAAACGTGGAACTAGATTTGATGATCACACTGATATTTTATATTTGGATTTCGTTATTTTAATCCATGTGCAACTGTACTCATTATGTGTGACTATTTAATAGTTTTGTTTTTCATCTTGTCATTTTCATTTGCTGTTACAACTGTTCTCTCTGTTTTATGTACATTATGAATATATATATATATATATATATATATATATATATATATATATATATATGCAGGTTTTGGTGTCCTCGGGTGTCTTCCCGTGTAAAAGTTGGGGTGTCTAGGCGACGTTTCGACGAGGTCTCACTCGTCATCTTCAGGCTGGTGCTTTCGGCTTCTTGTTACTGGAACAGAGCAGGATCTCAGTGTTTGAGTTCCTATAAATACTGTTGAGGAGGTGTGGTGTATAGCCTCCAATGTTCTGGGCAGAGAGGAAGTTCCCAGGCTAGTGTGCCTTTTCTTCTTTTGTTCCTTAATTACTTGAGGGATATCTTGAGTGATTTCTTGAGTGATATCCTGAGTACCACTTAGGTGGGTCATTAGGTGTGGATTAGTTGCTAAAGCCTTCGTGTCTTGACCTCTTGAACTTTGTGAAGAGTTTTTCTGAGAAGATGGCTGTACTGCACTTAGTTGTGCTCTGGCTTGGCTTCGTGTATAGGGGCGAGCTGTGGTTTTGTGGCCTGTGCCAGCCAGATCTGTGTAGGGATTGTGTAGGTGGAGCAAGGCTAGGGTCTTAAACTGGTGTTTGGGGGGAG